ATAACCGGCCGTAACACACCCCTCCCACACACCCCGCAATGAAACTATGCACTTTAGCACCCAGAGGAGCAGCAGAAGGGTGAGCATAACATCAGGAAAAAGAGGGGAAACAAAGAAGCACGTGTAACAATTATAACTACATTATTATTCTTTCTCTTTCTGTAACAATTAGATTTGGACTAATAATGATTAGGCTTTTAAGATTTCAATTCTACTAATAAATTCATGGCTTTATTATTTTATATATGGGGTTTTCCTCTTTGCCCCTAAACAAGGCTTTGATGTAACATCCTGCAGTCTTGCTGCTCAATGACTCTTAAAACTGTTAATGCTATAACATCATCAGTACAACATTACTGTTTCAGAAAGAGTAAATCATAAACGTGTCAGGTCAGGGACGGCGCCCTCTGCAACTACACGTTAACACAGAAGCACCTCAGTCAAAACATGAAAATCTTCTTTCTCTCAAACTTTGTTGTGCAGTAAGCAGTTATTTATGAAGTTACTATGCTATTCTGAGATGTGATCTAGAGCAGGGCTGGTTTCGAACTCTGAAGTCAGCCGTGGTAAATTCCCTAGCTGGAAACATTTTTATGAATAGTTGATCTTCACTTCTCTTTCAGTCACTCTAGCAAGTGAATGAACAAGCTGGTGTGAACACCTCTCATGCTGAAGCATATCTTATGAGTGTGAGCCAGGGAGCCAAAATACTCTTGCACTATTGCATCTCTCCACCTTAATCCTGGGGATCCACAGCAGGTTAGCCACGACAACTAAGTATTACTTCATACTAAATCCACCATCTTCTGATACAGATCTCAGGGTATGGGATTAGGAATTACTTTCTTTCCCCTGTGTTTCCTCTTTACTCAATTTTAAGCAACTACTCTAGGGTCTTACATTTTTTGATACAGGTCACAATCTTTAGACCTTGTAGTCACTGCTTGCTTTTCCAGCTGCGGTTTCATTTCACTTCCTTCTCATCCTGCCTTACTTTGGTCCCAACACTAAATAATACATTTATTCTTGCAACAACCAATTGAGGAATCCATAAGAAGTCTGAGAATAATTCTTTTTACTAGTATTATCACTGCAGAGGTGTCTGAAGTCCCACTGCAAAAACCTGTGATGAGACACTTGAAGGATTTACAATTTAAATACAAACATGACAGCACAAGAAAAAGAATTACAAACTAATTTACGCACGAAAGAGACAAACATCGATGAAGCGACTAGGGTCACAAGTTAAACCTTCCAAGTCCAGTCCAGTGCCTCTGCTACAAGACTGTCAGTTGCTAGAGAACATCGGTATGGATATGAAAATTGAAGGCTGCAAGCTAAGATAACAACATTTAGCACAAGATGGTGTGGTTAAACAATGCAGTATTTTATCCATCTGTTATCCTTAGTTCTGATTAACACTGGGAGCATGAAAACAAACTTACTGCCTGGAAACCGACCCCAGGTTGCTGTTCTCAGACATGCTTCCATGTTTTAGAAAAGATACAAAAGCACTGGTGACGTGTCAAGTTACAAAGTGAAGCAAATGCCCAGCAACACTTTTTTCCCCTCTGTATATCAGGATCATTTCCAAGAGGATACTGCAAATTTGAAGCTAGCTATATAGTCTTCCTCTACATAAAATGACTGTGAACAGAAATGAAAGAAAACTGGAGGAGGTGCAAAAGATATTTCTTTGACTGAGATCTTTCAGAAAATGATTACAAGTTTCAGACTTCAGCAAATAACACAAACAAACAAATTCCCTTTTGCATACATCTTGTTATAACAGAAACACTTCATACTCTTAGCTATAATAACAGTAACAAGAACCATTATTTATATTGGCAATTACTAGACCTAAGTTACTTCCTATTACACTCTAACAATATACTGTACACCTAAAAAAACCCCACAAACACGCAAACACTCTGCAGGTATCCTCTTGGTGGGCAGTAAGAGCCTTTGCTTGCTGAGCAGGCGGAGGAAGTCGGGGTGCCCCCGCTGCCTGCAGGCCGCTCAGTGTTGCACCCACGCCGCAGAGCCTGCCGCAGCGCTGGCCCCGAGCGCAGGCACAGCTCAGGAGCTCACAACATTGCTCCTGTTGACAATTCAAGGCTTTTACACTTTAACGTAATAAGAGCGTGCATTCAGTCATAATACAATGTTTATTGATTTATTTTGGCTTACTACATCAGCCAGAATATGCATGCTGAAAGACAGAAGGACAACTTGACAGATAAAGCTCTCACACTACAAAATAAACTTAGAGAACCAGCCTTTGCATTTGCAAAGAAAAGGAAGTCCGAAGTCGGAAAGGGTTCATTCTCTCAGGCTGCTCTGTGGAAAAGTTTTAATTAAAGATAAAAATGAGATGTACAGTAACTCTAATAGAGATAGAAGAATTACCTCACATCATGGTTCTGTAGAGGACTTCTTGAAAGAACACTTAAATGAAATGCTCCCCACTGTCCCCATTTATCAAAACTCTTGCACTCCACCTACTCAAATGTTTATGCTTTCTTCTATTTGTGAAGTTTTACCATGTGACTACTTAGGTGTATAGTAATAAGTATGCTCAAAATCACAGTTTCAAAGTACCACGGCCTCCTGTTCTAAGTACCGCAGGGACAATTTGCGCCTACATACAAAAGAGGGGTGTCAGAGAGCTGAAGAGAAACGGAGGCAAACAGAGCTCGGAAGAAAAGGCAGGACACCTCGGCTGGCACGAGAGAGGAGAGGCTGCTACACAGATGAAGTAGCTTTCATGACATGTCAGACTGTAGAGGGGACGTGATTTCCCAAATTCCTCTCACTCTCCTGAGAAGATGACACCATAGTAACGGGAAACATGCTGCCTGCCTGAGAGCCTGAACAGTACCCTCTTTAGATCCTCGTTTAAACAGTCCATGCCACAAGCATACACTTTCAGCAAGATTAAAGAAATCAGTGCCCATCAAGGAAACAAAACTAAAATAACTTCCCTTCACAAACACCGTTCAAAAACAGATTATTTGTTTCACATGCTTAGTTTTTAATTCTTTGCACTTTGTAAATTGCATGCTTGCTGATTAGACTTACCGGATTTAACAACTGTTTATCATTTGATATATCAAATTTAAAAATAATGTACAGGAATTAGTTAGGCAAAGTTTTACATAAAAGAGATGTGGAAGTATATTTTTCTTTCTCTAGCTACCACAAATTAGGAAAATTTGTGCAAATTTTTTTTTCTAGAAAGTAACATCTAGCAAAGATGAAGGTGGCTGAAGAAACCACAGGTGACTTGGCTGCAAATGCTCATATATACTGTGCTTTTGCATCAACATTTTATTCAATAGAAGCAATGAGGTCTGGAATTTTTAAAACCATTTCAGGGGCTCTGACACCTAATAATCTTTAAATTTATCAGAAGATCGGTATCCAGCACTAAGACATCCAGAACTTAGAAAGGTTCTTTACTCTCAGCATCAGTCATTTTACAAAGCCAGAACAAGTTTTTGAGATATTACAATGACAACTGAAATACTTCCTAACACAAAACAAAAAACAAACAAAAAACCCAAACCCAACCTTCCCCCAGATGAAAGTATATATGCCATACTGAAAAGTCTTATGATACGTCCCAGACTCCTCACATTTTCAAGCTGGATCTGCAGATTTAATCGAGAGAGACAGCCTCTATGCAATTATTTCTCAACCTTGAATTCACTGCTCCACTTTGATTTTGCACTGTATTCTAAAGGGTCTACCGATAATATCTGGAAGAGTCTGAAGTAATTCACTGTCTGAGCAGAGTGGAACTGTATGAGGACAGTGGAACGTTAAGAGAGAAAATAATCTCTGTGCAAAGGATCAGCACAACATCCATAGGCTAATTATCAATCCTACATAGCCTATTGTTTTAAACGCAAACTAATGAAAACAATATAGCATCTTACTTAAGCATAGTCAATTAAAATAAGCTTAGCAGCTTCTGGATAAGGCATAAACTCTAAATTAAATTAGATTGCTACCAAATGTAATCTCACAACAAAAAAAATCTGTGAATTATGGTTTACAGAAGCTTTACATGTCACTGTACTTCAGCTATGGAATATTCTAAGATCATAACAACGACATACCTACCCAAAATGGAATGATTTCTTAAGTAGATCTTATTTCTCTGATGCAAGTTACTTAATGTGTTTGCTCTCTGGCCACACAGTATTTTACGGCAGGAATTTTATGAGAACCTTTCTTTTGAAGATGCACATATCATTAGTCTTTCTACTTAATTTCCACTGAGCACACAATAACCATGTTACTCATTTTAAGATACATTCCTGGTATTTTTGCCCCTCTCTTCCCCCCCAAAATCTCATAACAATCTGTGGTTTTTAATTCTGTTCCTATTTAGATGGTTTCAAGAAGGTAACCACAATTGTGTAAGTGATACGAATATATATCATTTTTGTTATGTTTTTATACAAAATATATTTAGCTACTAGAAACTGATAATATACACAGCAACAATCAGCTCATTATTCAAAGAAAAATATTTATGTTATGATAAATAATAAATGCAAACATCTTGTAAAAATAAGATATGCATAAAGATACTCCAAAATGCCACTACTTAAAAGTTAGGAAATCCTGAATGCTAGTGTTTCCCATTTAGAAGATACGAATGTTCAGATTTCCTGTGATCCCATTGATTAAATTGCACAGTATTTCTTCCCACTTCAAGTCTGGTTTACATCACAAAACAACAAGAAGTCCAACAGAAACTAGTTACATACTTATCTTTACCCATCAAGATTGGATTCTACAAAGAACGGATTAGCGTGAATTAGAAAAACTACATGTAGGAAGAGGTCATAAATCCTTGTTTGCAGGAGACCTAACCTTAGATAGTACTATCTTAAAGGAATATTAAAATACAGCATAAAAAAAAAAGGTTAGAATGATTTACAAAAGCATGCCAAACTCTACAAGCATAATTCATTTTAAACACCTACTTGCTTCTGTAGCCACCGTTCTCGCCTTCTTTGTTTTCTCCTTAAACTTTTCAGCTTGTTTCTCTCTCTCTTACTCAGCTTTTGGTTGAAGGAAATACTTGCAGGCTGCGCAAGACCAATAGGTGTGATGTATTGTTCGTCTTCTACAGCACTCACAGATGAAGCAAGGTTCATCACAAAAGGTGACTGATCAGCAAGGGCACTCCTGGAATATTGCCCAGTAGCTTCAAAATCACATTCACTTTCTGCTTCTCTATGTACTAATGGGTTAAAGGAAGTAACTTGAAACCTTTTCTGCAGTTCTTCAGCATTCAAACTGAACTGGTCCTGAAAAGCCGTATCCTCTTTCTGATTGGACTCTAATTGCAAGTCACATCTTGTGTAAACAGGTGGATTTTCATTTTGGCCATGGCAAATAGTTCCCACACCGGAAGTTCCACATGAAGCAGGCAACAAAACAAGCCTCTCTCCGATACTTAAATCCAAACTACGTGACCTTCTGTGAAAAGCTTTTACAGCACGTACATCATTTATCGGCCAGGCAGCAGAAAGATTTTTTTTTTGATTGAATGCCTTTAAGGGAATTTTTTTACCCTTCATCTCAAAACCGGGCGATGTTACTTCCAGACAAAGTGCTTCTATTAATCTTCCAATGCCATCATTATTTCTGGCCATAGATGAAAATCCTTGGTTTTTGATTTCCAAAGTTGCAGTTACCACTTTGTGGTGGGGATCCTTGTTAAAACCAGATTGAATTCTGCAGAGTGGTAAGCGTTTTGCTAATGGTTTTGCCAATTTAACAGAGGAAGCTGGCTGATAGTCAGTCCGACTCTTGCAGAAATGTATATTTACAAACTGTCCACAGGAGCACTTTGTGTTGGAAACAAAGTTAAAGCCCCCTAAGCGGGCCTCACAGAACGGACAGTGCAGTTTTCCAGTTGTCCACTGTGCCTATTAACAAGAAAAGAAAAAAGAACAACAGATTCATTGTACATAAATGATTAAGAAACCATTACTAGATTTACTTTTCTCCTTCAGTGAAAGAGTAAACCCTTTTAAACACAGGAAAAGAGACTGCACAGAAAAAAAAAAATCCACTATCAATAATGTTCTCTCAAAACACTGCTTGCTGAAGTGAGAACTAATTCTAAGAAATCTAGAACAAACACACATTTCAACATGTAGAGGCTTTATTTTAAAAATTTGTCTATTGAGAGAGTAACGCTGCAATACTAATGAAAATATTAGATCCTTTAAAACACTGAAATCAATTCACCATGTTAACCTGGAACTGGCAAGCACAGTTTCTCACTTGAGTTTTCTGAGTGCTGATACAGCTCTTGCATACTAAGTACAGCGGAAGAAGATTTCTCACGAGATGAGTGTAGCTTTTGCTTTGCTTATGCGACAGCGTTCAAAATGGTACTAAATGTATTTTGGTGTATGCAGTATTACACCATAAGCTGTGTGCAGGCACCGTCACAGACCCTTTATATTGTATCTTTAAAATTGCAAATAATGACAATAACTGTCGTCTTATGAACCTCATTTCAATTCTAAAGCCACTTTTTCAAAGGAAAACTTATCACAGATCTATAAACACACACACACACACTCAATAATTTCAGTAAATATATTAATCTGTTCAGCAGAAACATTGTGAGGATTAAAGTTATGCAAGTGTTTGCAGGATCAAAGCAAAGATGAGAAACAACGCTGTCAACCCTGGTCACACGTAACTCACTTGTGTGCCTAGAGTAAGTGAGGTCGAGCTCTGAACATTACAGAAGCTGCCCAGATATTTCTAGCTAAGCATTGCTTTTAGTTGCCTGTATATACCTTTGCAATTAGACTGAGAAGACGTTGCCATGACTGATGCTTGCCTGAGTGGACGCTTCAGAAAGTTTCAGTAAAACCAGTTTTGCAGTTTCAGAAAAAGCTTGTGTGCTAAAAAAGGTTATGTTTTGGTATGCAACACTAGAAAAAGTTCTGGAAACTCTTCCTTGAGAAACTTACTCCCATGTCTTGTGTTAAAAGCTCAAAATTTCACAAAATGTGAGAGATGTGCCTTTTGTTGCACCTACAAGAATCTGTTTGAATCTGGACATGTTATTAGCCTAGAGGGGAAAAAAAAAAATCTCAGGTTACATATGCTCCATAAAACTTTCTGAAGGCTTTAAGATCCCTGAAAATTCCTTGAACATGCACAGCCCCTTTCACAGTTTATAAGGCTGACCAATTTGTGTCTATGCCATTCCCCAAAACAACTAAGCTGGTTCAAAAACTTACTGTGAGCTTCCCACATGCCATTTCCCGGATGCTATAGGCTAGGCACTACAATTGAGAAAAAAAGCGGCATCTCTCTAGTGCCTTCAGTGAGTCTTGTTAGCACTCAGGTACTATAGAATAGTAACTTAGATCTCCAAATGCAGGGGAGGAATGAGCTATGAAAAGTCAGGGAAGAACGTAAGAGCCTGATAAAACTAGGAAAAAAGGAGAAGAAATGGAAGAGAAAGGACATCTCTGTTCCACGTGCATAGAGACTGGGAGATGAGGTGCAATGCAAGGAAGTCCAGGATTGATTTTGCGTGAACTTGGAAACAGACTGTGGAAACGCTGACTCAGTAAAAAAGGCAACAGCCTAACTGTGGAGGAGGTGGTAGGGGGAAAATCAGCAAGATCTGAAAAGGAGCTGAGGGGACACAATTTCATGATGGGCTGCATAAAAAGGGAAAGCAGGGAAGAGGTAGCCAAAGCAGCTAGAACAAGTGATATGTGACTGGCAAAGGAAAATAACAGGCCAATAAAAGGCCACTAACACCACTAGCCAGATATTTATAATTATTTAAGAATTTCTATACACTGAAGCGTGTACGAAACCAAAGGAGATTGGTTAAGAACAGGGACAGATGGCAAAAAAGAACTGGCTAGGAAGCAGTAGGTTGTTACAGCCTGCAAATAGATTTTGCGCTTATGTAAAATGATTTAGCCTTTGATTCAGAAGTCATACAGGAGAAAATAACACATGACCACAAAATTATTCAGATCTGGGTAAGTAAGAATTGTGTAAAAAGCCCTCACATTTATCCATAAACCGATAGGACCTTTCTACAGAAGTCAGAAGGGAATGAAGCAAGAGCTTCCAGGATGTGAAAGGACAAAATCAGGGCTAAGACAGCTGAAGGCTTTTACATAGAACTGGATTCTCTGCCTCTGCCAGAGGAACACTGCTCCTCTGCTATCTTCAGCAACTATTTTAAGCCTTTTCCGCATAGTCACTGTGTGTGGTTTTCTTATTTTCCTGGTCTCCAACTTGTCTCTCCAGGCTTTTAAACGCAGAAGGCTGGGCATTTACAGCTAGCGGTGAAAAGCATAAAACTAGTTGCAATACATGAAATCATAAGAATACAAAGTACTGAAAAAAAATG